CTCTGGGCATGATGGATGCCTTGATGAGAAGAGCCCCGCATGCTAACCTTTGCTTCAGTGAAGCCAAGACAAAGGCTACACAAAATCACACATTGGTCTGGCTAGATTCCCTTCCGAATAATCAGCTGCAGCAATTTGTTGATTTTGCTATGAAACAGGCAATGAGGGTTAGATAGAAAACATGTGAGAGAGAGCAAGCCAATGAGAGGATGGCTTTACATAAAAATTATAAAGCTTGCAGAGATGCTTATGAGAAGTAGCTGAAGGCTGCAGTAGCTCAGATAGGGCTAGTTCCTGCACTGCTACAGTTGAAAATCTTTAATGATTTAGATAGTACGTCCAAAATTCATTTAGAGAGGTTTTTAACTGATAATGCAAGTTTATCATATGTAATACTGCGACATGTTTGGCATCAAGAGGGCCAGGACTGTGTTTACTTTGAGATGGTTAGGAATGTGGGAACCACACAAACAAAAGATAAATGTAAGAAAGTTATTGATTTGTGGTACTAAAGAGAACATGATGAGCCATCAAGTGACTTTTGTAGTATGAATGTTAAACAGTTTTTAGTTGACTTCGCACAGGGGGATTTATCATTTTTGTAAAATTGTATGTACTTGTGGTCAGTGTTTCTATCGTCCATTAGTATGTCTTACATGAATAAGAAGATTTTTATTTTTGGTTTTGATTTATAACAAAAGAGCTGTTGAGCTCACACTGTCTCACGGGCTGGTATTATATGGAAAAGGCATTTCAAAAGTGAGCTCAGTTGCTTTACTGGCAGGTTTAACAAATACTGAAGGTACACCTAATTTTGATATATGGTGTCATTTGTTTTGTGCTGCAACACATTAAATGGTTTTGAGTGTTTATCAATGTATCAGTGAGTTAGCTTATTGTATATTGTATTGGTAACTTTATTTTATATTCACTTTTAGTGTGTGACTTTTTCCTGACTGTTATTCTCTGGGTCACTGCCTCTTTTCATTTTTTACCTGTGTCTTTCGACTTGTTGCTATCCCCACTGTATGTCCTCTCCTGTGGTATTCCCTGGCTCTGCTGTCTCATGCATTCAATTTGCTCAGATCGCATATAATTTTAAGCTGTCTATGTGTGATTTTCTATTCACTAAATACAGTCCTCTGTGTGTCGACTGGTCGTGATGCATACCAGTGTAAATGTTTTGCTGTTGGATGCTGGGCAAACATGGATACTACAATAATTTTTTACTTTTTTTTTTTATAACACAATAGCAGTTTTTTTCAATAGTTGTTTTCCGGAGAAGCTGTGGCGAATGTATAATCATATGAAATCCCACAGTATATCAATCATCCATGCTGTCTCTGTTATTAGTGTATGCCTAGACTGATGTCTTTTGTACTCCTACACAACAAGAGAGAAGCAGTGATATGTATATGAAAACAACACTGTATAACAATGATCCTTGTTGTAATGTACTATTCCACCTGCCAGATGGATGTTTCCGTAGTGGCTTTATAGATATAGCAGCAGCATGTGTGAAGCTGTGGTGAATGTATAATCACATCAAAATCCCACGGTATATCAATCATCCATGCTGTCTCTGTCTGTCTGTCTACATTTCATATGTATCTATCTCAATCTCCCTTTTTTTCAAATGAAAGAACATTAGTGCTATTTATTTAGTGCTATATGTATGCACGTTATCATTCATTTCTCACTGTGGCGTCATTACTAGTTGATACTTTTAGGTGCTTCGTGTAGTAAAGACATTCACATTCATACGCTTTCTATGTTAATTTTGTCAAAAACATATTGCCAAACTGTGTCTTTTTTCTTCTGCCTTCTATACCCTAATGGGGCATTAGTCCTCAATCAACTCGCGCTGTCATTATAGCCATTGCTATTACATTTGCTCTTAGTCTTATTCTTCTTCTTCTTGTTCACCAGCTGTACACTATGGCGTAAAGTTCTGGTTGTTCGTCCACTTGTGGACTGCAGTCCTGCTCCAGAACCTGAGTGTTGCGTATGCATCAGTTTTACAGATCTGATTCAATTGAATGCAGACTGCTGGTTCCTTGCCTCTCAGGCAGATGCACTCCGACTTCAAAGAAAGCTCCCCAGTTAGTCGACTCTTACGACATGCTTTTGGGGAGGCAGTGGGTTTATTCTTGTTTTCCCCACAATAGGGCCCCGGAACCCACACGAGGGATTTGCTCTTAGTGTCTTCCCTATCTTTTTAACTTCACTTTCTAGCTCCCTTCTGCATGTGTTTTTATGGTCTTTGTATATTTTTATGCCCCTATTGGTTCCAGTACACAACTCATTGGCAGACAACTATAAATGTATACGGTTTTTGCTGAAAGAAAGTCAATTGATGGCCATTTTCATATGTTAATTAGGTCACGTCAACTGACATTGGCACATTTATATGATCTTTGTGTTCACCTTGTCGGGACGCACAATTTAATATGCATGTCGCCAGGCTCGCTGGCAGATAACCTTACAGGTATAATGTTTTGCTTGAAAATAGTGAGCTGGCGGCCATTTTCATATGTTAATTAGGTCACGTCAACTGACATTGGCGCATTTATATGATCTTTGTGTTCACCTTGTCGGGACGCACAATTTGATATGCATGTCTCCAAGTTCGCTGGCGGATAACCTTACAGGTATAATGTTTTGCTTGAAAATAGTGAGCTGGCGGCCATTTTCATATGTTAATTAGGTCACGTCAACTGACATTGGCACATTTATATGATCTTTGTGTTCACCTTGTCGGGACGCACAATTTGATATGCATGTCCCCAGGCTCGCTGGCGGATAACCTTACAGGTATAATGTTTTGCTTGAAAATAGTGAGCTGGCGGCCATTTTCATATGTTAATTAGGTGCATAATGTATTATATGTTTTTAAAACGTGCATAGACAGTTAGGTCTAACTGTCCTGCTTCCAGCAATATTTAGTTGCTAAGGGATTCGTTCAGAAACAAAAAAGTTATGGCCGTAAAATCAAACATTGAGTCATTTCATCTCACTGGGTCGCAGCCGGAAGCCATGTTTTCTGGATTTTCACTACAATTTTTCTGTCGTGGTGTCCGCCACTAAAATGTTAATATCTCCGCTTAGAATCGACTTACAGGCTTAAATGAGTTACCATTGGATTTGTAATTTTAATTTTTATCTAGCTGTTATAATTTCGTAAGTAAAAACCCAAAAAATAAAACTTCACTACCATCCCTACACTAGCTGTACCCGGCCATGAGTTGCTGTGGCATTGTTTGGCTAAATGGAAAAGAAGGAAAATAGAAAGCGCACGTGTCTAATACGGTTACTGTCGCAATCCAGAGATAGTCTTCGATGCCCCCCCCCCCCCCCTTTCCCAAATCCACCTACTACACGCTCCCTCATCAAAGGCTTTTTGAAAAGAAAGACAATAGAAATCTCACGTTTCTAATATAGTTAATGTCGCAATCATTCTCTGCACAGATATAGAGATAGTCTGGTTTGCCACTTTAGTAGACAGGAGTAGACAGGGAGTCGTGAGCTAGAGGATTTGGCGCCGCATGTCTAGTGCTATCGCCACGGACTGGTCAGGTTAGGATGTGTAATTTCGCTCCCCGACAGAAAAATGCCATCACCTTACCGGCGGTCTCCGGCATGACAGCACTATGGTGTAACCGCCCAACGACAACTACTACTACTTTGAGTGGGTAAGGCAGTTACTTTGACTGAAAGCTCTCTCAGTTACCAGTTTATGCTACCCTTCCCCCCCCCCTCCTCTTCCAATTCACCGACTACTCTTTCCTTCATCGAAGTAGTTTGGACCAAAAAACCAAGTGAAATGCAATGAAAACAGGAAAAATACACCATAATTACGAAATGAACGCTAAGATAAACAACACAGCCTAATTCCAATGCAATGTCAGAAGAAATAATTAAATTGAAATTTTTTTAGTATTTATGGCTACATGGCTAGTGCTGTCCCCACGACAGAGCAGGTCTGGGTTTTATTTTGCCACGGGTAAAAAAAAAAAAGGAAACTGCCGCACTGGAAATTCGAACCCTAGTTTTCTGCATGGGAACCCGGTGTACTAACCATTCGGCCAGCCAACACTGCTTCTGAACAATGAAAAAAGAACAAAACTATGCAAGATGTGTGTCCCGATTCTAACACAACTCAAAACCACAGGCAATTGTTTTCTAATAAACAGATATCCCAGATATAAACTTCAAGTATTTTTGAAACGGCACAATAATAGAAATCGTACGTGTCTAACACGGTAAATGTCGCAATCATTGTCTGCACAGACATAGATAGCCCCCCCCCTCTCTTCCCCTTTCTCAAATCCACCGACTACTCTCTAACTCATTGAAGGTTGTTTGAGAAGAAAGAAAATAGAAATAGTATCTAATATGGCTAATGTGGCAATCAGCGATATAGAGATAGTCTTGTTCCAACTACTGCATGCGCATGCGCATTTACGAACGTGGCTTTCATTGAATGTCACTAAAATGGAAATATTAGTTTCGAAAAATTTTCAAACAAATGTAGTCACCTATCTCTAACAGGGTGAATTTCAAACCATGACGGGGAAAAATCCGGTATCAAAACAAACATATTCTAAAAATTTCAGCTAAATCGGTTCAGTAGTTTCCAAGTCTACAGATCATAAACACACACACATACATTGATTTTTAAATATATAGATAAATGCTCTGCCACCAGTACGGAGAGCTGATGAAAAAACTGTCCATCTGTGTCACCGCTCGCACGTAACTCCGTAGCTACAGCAACGTTCCTCCATTTACCGCAGAGTGTTAACTCCTGTACCCATAACCTTAGGCTGGGTGAACCCCAGGAACAGCCCGGTTTCAAACACCGGCCGTGGGCCGCAGCAAGTTGCAGCTGGATTTGAAAGCTAACGTGGCCCCTGAATCTTCAATTATACTTCTAAGCAGTCTTTTTATGGCCTTACAAACTGTATGTGTGCTTCTAAAATGTTTTTCAATTCCCTTACCTTACATTTGAGAACATAAACAATGGGCACAAATGTTTCCTGCAGCACAATCGCAGCATCATGGGCCAGTCCAGTAATGATGGTTGGCTGTACGTAGTTGCCAGGTATATCTAAAACCTTGATAAGACACACAGTTCATAACAGATTTCAATGTTCTTGTGTTATTTGAAATATGTGTACACACATACATCACAAACAATAGGTGTGCAGCTGTAACTGTAGTGGGCCAAGTGTAACTTTAGTGGACCAAGTTAACTGTAGTGGGCCAAGTGTAACTTTAGTGGACCAGGTGTAACTGTAGTGGACCAGGTGTAACTGTAGTGGGCAACGTGTAACTGTAGTGGGCAACGTGTAACTGTAGTGGGCCAAGTGTAACTTTAGTAGGCAAAGTGTAACTATAGTAGGCAAAGTGTAACTATAGTAGGCAAAGTGTAACTGTAGTGGGCCAAGTGTAACTGTAGTGGGCCAAGTGTAACTTTAGTGGGCCAAGTGTAATTGTAGTGGGGCAAGTGTAACTATAGTCGGCAAATTGTAACTATAGTAGGCAAAGTGTAACTATAGTATGCAAAGTGTAATTGTAGTGAGCAACGTGTAACTGTAGTGGGCAAAGTGTAACTGTAGTGGGCAACGTGTAACTGTAGTGGGAAAAGTGTAACTGTAGTGGGCAAAGTGTAACTGTAGTGAGCAACGTGTAACTGTAGTGGGCAACGTGTAACTGTAGTGGGCCAGGTGTAACTGTAGTGGGCCAGGTGTAACTGTAGTGGGCAAAGTGTAACTGTAGTGAGCAACGTGTAACTGTAGTGAGCAACGTGTAACTGTAGTGGGCCAGGTGTAACTGTAGTGGGCCAGGTGTAACTGTAGTGAGCAACGTGTAACTGTAGTGAGCAACGTGTAACTGTAGTGGGCAACGTGTAACTGTAGTGAGCAACGTGTAACTGTAGTGGGCAACGTGTAACTGTAGTGAGCAACGTGTAACTGTAGTGGGCAACGTGTAACTGTAGTGGGCCAGGTGTAACTGTAGTGGGCCAGGTGTAACTGTAGTGAGCAACGTGTAACTGTAGTGAGCAACGTGTAACTGTAGTGGGCAACGTGTAACTGTAGTGGGCAACGTGTAACTGTAGTGGGCAAAGTGTAACTGTAGTGGGCAAAGTGTAACTGTAGTGGGCCAGGTGTAACTGTAGTGAGCAACGTGTAACTGTAGTGAGCAACGTGTAACTGTAGTGGGCAACGTGTAACTGTAGTGAGCAACGTGTAACTGTAGTGGGCAACGTGTAACTGTAGTGGGCAACGTGTAACTGTAGTGGGCAAAGTGTAACTGTAGTGGGCAAAGTGTAACTGTAGTGGGCCAGGTGTAACTGTAGTGAGCAACGTGTAACTGTAGTGAGCAACGTGTAACTGTAGTGGGCAACGTGTAACTGTAGTGAGCAACGTGTAACTGTAGTGGGCAACGTGTAACTGTAGTGAGCAACGTGTAACTGTAGTGGGCAACGTGTAACTGTAGTGGGCCAGGTGTAACTGTAGTGGGCCAGGTGTAACTGTAGTGAGCAACGTGTAACTGTAGTGAGCAACGTGTAACTGTAGTGGGCAACGTGTAACTGTAGTGGGCAACGTGTAACTGTAGTGGGCAAAGTGTAACTGTAGTGGGCAAAGTGTAACTGTAGTGGGCCAGGTGTAACTGTAGTGAGCAACGTGTAACTGTAGTGAGCAACGTGTAACTGTAGTGGGCAACGTGTAACTGTAGTGGGCAACGTGTAACTGTAGTGGGCAAAGTGTAACTGTAGTGGGCAAAGTGTAACTGTAGTGGGAAAAGTGTAACTGTAGTGGGCAAAGTGTAACTGTAGTGAGCAACGTGTAACTGTAGTGGGCAACGTGTAACTGTAGTGGGCCAGGTGTAACTGTAGTGGGCCAGGTGTAACTGTAGTGAGCAACGTGTAACTGTAGTGGGCCAGGTGTAACTGTAGTGGGCCAGGTGTAACTGTAGTGAGCAACGTGTAACTGTAGTGAGCAACGTGTAACTGTAGTGGGCAACGTGTAACTGTAGTGGGCAACGTGTAACTGTAGTGGGCAAAGTGTAACTGTAGTGGGCAAAGTGTAACTGTAGTGGGAAAAGTGTAACTGTAGTGGCCAACGTGTAACTGTAGTGAGCAACGTGTAACTGTAGTGGGCCAGGTGTAACTGTAGTGGGCAAAGTGTAACTGTAGTGGGAAAAGTGTAACTGAGGTGGACAAAGTGTAACTGTAGTGGACAAAGTGTAACTGTAGTAGGAAAAGTGTAAGTGTAGTGGGAAAAGTGTAACTGTAGTGGACAAAGTGTAACTGGGGTGCACAAAGTGTAACTGGGGTGCACAAAGTGTAACTGTAGTGGGAAAAGTGTAACTGTAGTGGGAAAAGTGTAACTGTAGTGGACAAAGTGTAACTGGGGTGCACAAAGTGTAACTGTGGTGGGCAAAGTGTAACTGTAGCGGACAAAGCGTAACTGTAGTGGACAAAGTGTAACTGTAGTGGACAAAGTGTAACGGTAGAGGACAAAGTGTAACGGTAGAGGACAAAGTGTAAATGTAGTGGACAAAGTGTAACTGTAGTGGACAAAGTGTAACTGTAGTGGACAAAGTGTAACTGTAGTGGACAAAGTGTAACTGTAGTGGACAAAGTGTAACGGTAGAGGACAAAGTGTAACTGTAGTGGACAACGTGTAACAGTAGAGGACAAAGTGTAACGGTAGAGGACAAAGTGTAACGGTAGAGGACAAAGTGTAACGGTAGAGGACAAAGTGTAACTGTAGTGGACAAAGTGTAACTGTAGTGGACAAAGTGTAACGGTAGAGGACAAAGTGTAACTGTAGTGGACAACGTGTAACGGTAGAGGACAAAGTGTAATGGTAGTGGACAAAGTGTAACTGTAGTGGACAAAGTGTAACTGTAGTAGACAAAGTGTAACTGTAGTGGACAAAGTGTAACGGTAGAGGACAAAGCGTAACGGTAGAGGACAAAGTGTAACTGTAGTGGACAAAGTGTAACTGTAGTAGGAAAAGTGTAACTGTAGTAGGAAAAGTGTAACTGTAGTAGGAAAAGTGTAACTGTAGTAGGAAAAGTGTAACTGTAGTAGGAAAAGTGTAACTGTAGTAGGAAAAGTGTAACTGTAGTAGGAAAAGTGTAACTGTAGTAGGAAAAGTGTAACTGTAGTGGGAAAAGTGTAACTGTAGTGGACAAAGTGTAATGGTAGTGGACAAAGTGTAACTGTAGTGGACAAAGTGTAACTGCAGTGGACAAAGTGTAACTGTAGTGCGAAAAGTGTAACTGTAGTGGGAAAAGTGTAACTGTAGTAGGAAAAGTGTAACTGTAGTGGACAAAGTGTAACTGTAGTGGGAAAAGTGTAACTGTAGTGGACAAAGTGTAACTGTAGTGGGAAAAGTGTAACTGTAGTGGGAAAAGTGTAACTGTAGTGGGAAAAGTGCAACTGTAGTAGGAAAAGTGTAACTGTAGTGGACAAAGTGTAACTGTAGTGGGAAAAGTGTAACTGTAGTGGGAAAAGTGTAACTGTAGTGGACAAAGTGTAACTGTAGTAGGAAAAGTGTAACTGTAGTAGGAAAAGTGTAACTGTAGTAGGAAAAGTGTAACTGTAGTAGGAAAAGTGTAACTGTAGTAGGAAAAGTGTAACTGTAGTAGGAAAAGTGTAACTGTAGTAGGAAAAGTGTAACTGTAGTGGACAAAGTGTAACTGTAGTGGACAAAGTGTAACTGTAGTGGGAAAAGTGTAACTGTAGTGGGAAAAGTGTAACTGTAGTGGGGAAAAGTGTAATGGTAGTGGGAAAAGTGTAACTGGGGTGGGCAAAGTGTAACTGGGGTGGACAAAGTGTAACTGTAGTGGACAAAGTGTAACGGTAGAGGACAAAGTGTAATGGTAGTGGACAAAGCGTAACTGTAGTGGACAAAATGTAACTGTAGTGGACAAAGTGTAACTGCAGTGGACAAAGTGTAACTGTAGTGGACAAAGTGTAACTGTAGTAGACAGTGTAATGGTAGTGGACAAAGTGTAACTGTAGTAGGCAAAGTGTAAAATAAAAAATTAAGTAAATAACCCTTTTTAACACCACTGATGAACTGAGCAGACCCATATCTTTTTAGACCAATCAGTTGTGGGGGGGGGGGGGGGGGGGGGGGGGGGGGGGGGGGTTTCCTTATAGATATTTTATGTTGATTGGACTCGGTAGTCAAAATCATTAAAACAAAAAGTGAATTCATACAGAAGAACTTTAGGCTGGCATGCAGGCAGGTCGGATGTCGATTCTGCTGTCTCTATGGTATTTAGACTAAAAGCAATTCCGCCCCCTTCCCCAAGGTATTGACATCTCACTGTGGTAGGGGAGCTTATGCTGCTCAATGACATAGAGAGCAACACCACTGGTAGCTGACACCCTGGACCTAAAAGCCGGGTGGGGTGTTTGAAGTACAGGGCCGACCCACACACTCCTGTAAAACCTAATTTTGTCACAAAAGGTATAGTGTAGCCTTGAATTTAGATGGAGATGAATGGAAGCGGGTGATATCTGCAGCAGTAAAACTCAAGGGCTCAGAATGCTGAAGAAAAAAAAATTCTAGCAATCAGAGATTGCAGTGTGTTTGAGAACTGTGTATGTCAAAGTGCAAGAGGAAAGGGGTGATAGACATTATTTTAAAGAGCTAAGAATTGGTAATAAGCAAGCCTCTTATATCCTGCCTTTTTTTCATCTCTCCTTTCATATATGATTAAATTACGCATGTCTTATATGTAACGCTTAACCAACAATAATGTAAAATATGCTCTCAAAAAAAAAAAAAAATCAATGCACAACTATTTATTCCTAATTACTTTTATAATAATAGTAAACTGAAATTCACTGAAACAGAACTAGGTCAGGCAGTTCCAAGTTGTGTAAACAAAAGGATCATATAGTTGATCTTAGACTTCCATGGAGGGATGTACAGACAACATGCAATAAGATCTGTGAATTTCAATGAAAGGGTTTGGGTTTATGCCTCATTATATGTTGATATAAAGTCTGCAATGACACACAGAATAAAGTACAGAAACAAATGCCTGACAGTAAATTGTCTGCAATGTATAAATTCACAAAGTAGAACACTACTTTGCATTTCTAATAATGTAACACAAAATGACTCACTTTTCCACCATATTCAACCCTGCCTCCCTGAGCTATGGCTGCTTTAACAGCTTCTGTGTATTTCTTGACTGCATCTTCATTGTGAAGAGGTCCATACAAGGTTCCCTCTAATGGAAATAAGCAATATGTAGTAGCAACCATCAAGTATATACAGCTATAAGGAGCACGGTTCTATCGTAAAATAATCCGCATCCTGTACTTTGACTGTGAGTGGTTTCCGTGGCCTCATCTTGGGGGGGGGGGGGGGGGGGGGGGGGGGAGACGACAGACCCACTGCCTAACAAACATGTTGTGAAAGGTAAATAAAATAAAGGTGTTGATATCACAGCCTAGCTGTAAACCACAACACAATCTGTCAATAGCCCTTTTAAGGGTGAATGCAAAAGATGACTTGCAAAGAGGCACATGTGTCATGCTAAATCTGATAGTCTGACCTCTAACAGCATGTGTCCACTGATGTGCTCAAACCTTGTCATGCCAAGAGCAAAGGCTGTCAAGAATCTTCTCCTTCTGGCTTCACCTATCTTCCTTTCCTGAAACAGTCAAGATTTGTCACATGTTCCAGTTTTCTCTTCTCATATTTGTCACATGTTCCAGTTTTCTCTTCTCAGATTTGTCACATGTTCCAGTTTTTTTTTTCTCTAAAATTTGTCACATGTTTCAGTTTTCTCTTCTCAAATTTGTCACATGTTTCAGTTTTCTCTTCTCAAATTTGTCACATGTTTCAGTTTTCTCTTCTCGGGATGTGGCCAAAAACTGACGAGTTCCTTTTCTTTGATGTTTGAGATAAGCTATCCTATTGTCTTAGCCTCCTTCACAGCACCAGAAGCATTCATTTACTTTTTAAGGAGTACGACTTTTAAATGTGAAATTACATGGGACCAATGTGCTTATACTTAAATGTATTAACTCTTTCAATCCCAAAAGGTCATAGTTGATGCCCCAGGAAATAAATTGTGAAATCAACAAAATAATGGGCACACTACACCCACAGGACCCAAATACACACTCCTTGAGGGAGAAAAATGTGTTGCTCAGTGTTTTAGAATGCCGTGACTAATAATATGTTAACTGGTGCATGCGAGTAAATTCAGTCACACATGGTGTATTGTTTGGGACGGAAAGAGTTAAAGAACTATCTTTATTTTAAGAACAAGAATGCTCAATATAACATGAAATGTCATTAGAAAGCTAAATGGAGGGAATGGAAAGGATGCACACAAACACGACTGAAAGTTTCAACCAAAGTCTTTAACAACGGAGTACTAAATACAGCATCGACTGTGATTGGAAACTCAATGGACAAGACAACAGAGCTAATTAAAAAAGCCAAGGTCAACATAAAATCAAGAAGTATGTAATGGGATGGACAAATGTGAATATGTGTAATAATAAGAAGCGGAATAAGTAAGAAGGTGTACGCAAAAAGAGGGGAAGAAATATGAATAAGTTAAATAAATTAACAAGTAAATAAATACAATTAAATAAAGCTGTGTTGAATATTGATCCCTTCGGACTCAGAACGCAAAAACTATGGAGGAAATATTTTCTAATAAGTAGCGTCTGATTTGGTCATGGAGCTTAATATCCTTATTATAGACTACTATTATATAGTTCTAAGATATACTACACAGGTAAAGTTTACACACACGAGTCTCATACCTTCTATTGGATCACCAACTCTGAGCTGGGCATATGCTTTAATCAATCTCTCCACAATTTCATCATGAACATTTTCATGCAGGATCTTGGAGATAAGAATATTACACTATACATATACTGATAAACAGAAACATGTGATGAGCGTTTCGGAAGGCCAAATCTAAGACAGGCCTGTGTCGAATGTGTGGTCCTTTGAAAATAAAGTTTAGGTATTTATTTATTTCTCAGCCATTTCCAGGTAATCACTTTTAAGCTAGGTTGGTCTAATCATCCACCTTGGTGGAGATTCAAACACACAACCACCAGGACAGCAGGTAAGCATGCCTTCTATGTTATCAGTGTAAACAGCTAATAGTTATTTTTCTATCTACTGTCCCTGTTGCACCTCTCACTATCAGGTTAGAAGGAGTCCTTCTGTTTAAGGTGCTGCTATTTACCTGTAGTTGCACTAACAGCTTTCCAGCTTTTTCATTCTGGTGATGTACTTTTTTAGACATGAGAGGTAAAACACAAGTATGTGAGGAAAAGAGAGATACAACTCAAGTATGTGTGGAAAAGAGATAAAAAAAACACATATAAACATAATTTCATGACACAGTAATTCAGTGTAATAGCAAACCAGAGGTTAAACTACCTCCTTATTAATATGGACACACATAAATTACGCTAACTCGACCTACCTTCAAACTGCAGTTGACAGTTGAAAAGCATTCACTAGCCAATCATGCATGATGCAGTAATCCTAGTAATGATTGAACAAAACAGGCCTGCCTTTGCTGGTAACTTAGCACACAGACCACCATAGCTTGGACATGCTTTTTACAAACTTAGGTTACGGAAAACAGTTACAGGTCATGACTGGCAATAATCTTCTTATGCATTTGTTGTGCTACTTTTCTGACAATTTTGATCTTCATTGAGAATGTTTTTTTTTCTACCATGAAAATGAATCTTGAATGTCCTTGATGGCTCAGTACTCTGGCTGATCCTCTGATGTTGGTTCAGTGACAACCAGTACATCTTCTTCCTCTTTTAACGTCTAATGGAGTATAGGCACTCAGCTAACCCATTTAAAGCTCTCTTTAGATGTATTCATGATTGGCTGGATGTTAAGGTTAAAATATTTCATCTCAAGCTAATCATCTTTAGTTGTCTACAACATTCAATCACATTTCATGGTCCAGAAACCCCAGGGGATTCACAGAATATAATTCTTTAACACCCCCCCCCCCCTTTTTTTTTCCACACACAAGCAGACACAAAAAATACCTCAACTTAAAAATGCAATCCTTTCTGCCATTCTAATATATATTTTTTATATATTTCTTTTACACCCTCCCACCAATCCCCACTCACGCGCTCGCACGTATGCGCGCACACCCCTCTCTTCCCCTCCCCTCAACTTCAGAATGCAATCCTTTCTGCCATTCTAATATTTCTATTACACAAACAACAACAACAAACAAACAAAACCAACTTCAGAATGCAATCCTTTCTTCCATTCTAATATTTCTTTTATATTTCTTTTCCCAGGAAAAAAAAAAGGAAACCTCAACTTCAGAATGTAATCCCTTCTGCCATTCTAATATTTCTTTTACACAGACACACACAAAACCTCCTCAACTTCAGAATGCAATCTTGTTCGCCTTTCTAATATTTACAAATTATAGAAAGTTCCTCAGTTTAACTATTAAAATGTATGGGTCCATGGAAGACCTTCTTACTATTAGTGCAAATCAGCTGTAAACTCCAGCGGAAAGTTCTGGTGATTCGTCCACTTCTGAACTTTGGTCTTGTTCCAGAACTTGACCTCTTGCTTATTTGTGTGCAGACTGCTGGCTCCTCCCCTCACCTTTCATATCATGTTTGTCAAGGGCAGAGGGTCTTTTCTCCCCAAAATGATAACTGATGCCACAAGACACGAACTATAAGAAGAATTAGATAACACAGGAAATGAGATGAAAATAGATAATACCTTCAGCAAAAAAACACTTGCAACTTATCATACAGAAACCTGACAAATCAACAAAAAAGGAAGAGAAAAAAAAGTATAGCTCACTGTGTGCCAAACTGGCAATAACAACTCACCAATCTCCTAGTTGTTGTGCATCTCTGACCTGCAGTGCCAGCACAAGCAAACAAGGCAGCACGCACAACCATATTGATATCTGCATCTTTGTTCACTGTACAGAGGAACATGTGAGTTTTAGACATTATTTTGAAATTTAGATATATAAATAAAATACACGAAAAGTTCAATTTACAGTTTAAATGGTGGTATAATCAGTGTCATGCATCAGACTCCAGAAGCAATTTAAAAAAAAAAAAACCTTACATGAACTTCCAGTTTTGAGTGAATACCAGAAAGTGTCCTTAGAAGTATGAACGAACGAACAAACTTTATTTTCAAAGGGTTAAGAATTGGGCACGCAGGCCCGTCTAGCATAATACTGACAACATAACTTTTCTAGCGCTGTTGTTGGCATGTTTCCAGGATATAGCGTGGCACTGTGGTATGAGAATCACAACCAACGGTGTTGGCAAGTGGACCACTTTTGTTTGCGACCACCGATTAATTCCAGAGATGAAATTCCTCTCTCCACAGCACAAATCCTGGACAGCATTGTAGAGACCATGTGTTGCCTATGCATCTGATCCCTTGCTCGGCCTGTCTTGTTTACTCCAAAGGAAAGGTAACACCACTACATTTGGAACAAAGTACACTGAAGACGCTGCCTGATCAGAAAAGCAGTGCTCTGTACCCTGATGAAGCTTCCCTTCTAGACCAGCTGCCAGCCATGGCTAAGAACCAAGTGATTTGCCCTGACCAGCTCTTTGTGATCTATAAACATTTGTTGGAACCACATGCCTAAGTCACTACAGGGAAAAGGTCCCTTTCCCTATCTCTCTTGCATGTTCTGGCTGTTTGTCCACATGCCCAAGTCACTGCAGGGAAAAGGTCCCTTTCCCTATCTCTCTTGCACATTCTGGCTGTTTGTCCACATGCCCAAGTCACTGCAGGGAAAAGGTCCCTTTCCCTATCTCTCTTGCACATTCTGGCTGTTTGTCCCCTTCTGGACTTGTTCCAGCCTTGTTCCAGAACATAAGTTCTGTGTGCACGGTTGTTTTCAGATCTGGCTGATTTGTATTCAGACTGTGGGTTCCTCAACCCTCACACAGATGCACTCATACTTCAAAGAAAAAATAACTCTAATTACTCACCTTTTACGATATGCTTGCTGGGGGAGGGTGTAGCAGTGGGTCTATTATTTTTGTCTCTCCAAAAGTGGGGTCCCAGAACTCACACAAGAAACAATATTTACTGAGGGAGACTGAAATTGTTCTTTGTGCAATTCTCTTGACATGTGGCCAACTACTTTGTGGAGAGTGACTAACAGATATGGGATAAACTCTAATGGAGAAACATTGTTCCTCTTACCTTTAAAGTTTTAAACTAGTCGTTACCAAAATTTCTGACTTGTCCAGCTCTTTTTAGGATCAATTTCTCAGGTGGAGTCCCTTAGGCCTAACATAGACTTTGCTTTACAAGTTAGTTAATGGTGTTTAAAAGTAATGTTAAGAAGCAAAGGAAGAGGAGGTAGATATATTCATTTTTTTTCCTGCAGTGGCCATGGGCCCCTGGGAAGTGCATATGCAGCCCTTGTGAGCTTTGCAGATCCACGTTTAGGAATCACTGTTTCAAAATAAACACAGTGTCAGACTGTTTCAGTGTCATCATGGTGGTTTTGTGTTAAAATCTCTTTGACTGAGTTCAAATCTCTTTGACTGACCTAAGATATCAGGTGTGAGGAAACTTCCGGAGAAGTAAACACAGCCAGTGTGATACTGACCCATTCAGTCACTAAGTGCCCAATGACTGAAAAATATGTAGCTAGTATACACCCAAAAGGTCTAATAGGCATGAAAAAATGTCCTTCGACTGTAAAAGTGAGTGGGACTGTAGAAGTCATACTAAGCTGCCTTAAACAGAATGCAAGCGTGTTCAACTATGATTACATGCAACATCTTACCAATGATAGCATTATTTCCTCCAAGCTCTAGTAGAAATTTCCCTGCAACAAAATTAAGTCAATTTAAAAAAAATTCACAGGAATTTACTTAACTCTTTGAGTCCCAAGGAACCCGTCATACACTCATAGATTCCTACCTAGAAGCCCAGTGAACGCAACATGCGTCTTTCTTGACTACCCCTTGGGCCTGTGATGCTAAACACCTTGGGACTCAAAGAGTTAAGTACTGCAGTTTCCCTGCAGCAAAACAAATAAAAGACAGATTCACAAGGTACTTAAAGTAATGCAGTTTCCCTGCATTAAAATCAATAATGACAAATTCACAAGGCACTTCAAATATTGCAACTTCCCTGCAACAAAATCCAAAAAACACAAATTCATATTTAGTCACTTAAAGTAGTATGGCAATTTGCTCATCATCACAGGCAACAGTCCCTGGGCCCACATCATAGGCAACAGTCCCGGGTCCACATCATAGGCAACAGTCCCTGGGTCCACATCATAGGCAACAGTCCCTGGGTCCACATCATAAGCAACAGTCCCTCTGTCCACATCATAGGCAACAGTCCCTGGGTCCACATCATAGGCAACAAAGTCTCTGGGTCCAGGAACTGTGCTGGTGGTTATGAGAGCAGCTTCTGATGTGTCCCTAAAGTCTAATGTGGAGATGGCAATCTCTGCCAGAGTCTGCTTAGAACTGTTGACATTCTATTTATACTGAGGCTGGTTTTGGCAGAACTCTCTATATCTTCCTGTGTTAGGCCTCGGCAAAGTGTGGCAGCGGGTCTTTCACACTCTGCCTGCCTCTCTCTCTCTCTCTCTCTCACACACACACACCTATCATTTTCCTTTCCACAACACAGTTCTGCTGCCTAAGGTTATTTTTTTTAGCCCAGATACATCTATGCAAAGGTGAACATTTTGATACTAAATGCATTTTTATAAGTGCTAATTATTGGGTATTTACAGCAGTTACCCAGAATGCTACTACTCACACATCATAGTGGCTATGTGCCAAAAGTAACTAACTTAAGGCTACTTAAATGGCCACTTACCAAATCTTTCCTGGACCATCAGAGAAACTTTGTGTCCAACCTGACCAAACATGATAAAGACAACAGTTATTTTATAACTACTAACTGCTAGACAACACAAATTATGGGAGATAATAATTTAATCAAGTGTCATCTTCTCACTGAATGCTGACTGTTATATGGCTATCCTAGGACTGTAACTTCTACATGCTTCTCCCAACCAATCTTCTGATATTGCCCACAGAAACGCAATATCATCCGTCTTCTTGCATGTTACCCCACCATTTTCCCAATGTTTCTTTTCACAATGAATTGTATCTCTTTATCTGACTGAAGTACTTTGTATGTATGTCTGACCTTGACACCGTTCAGCACTGCTGTCATTAATCCTAGTTCTTAGAATACTTCTTGATTTTTTTATTCCAGTTTGTTACTTTTCCAACTGACAAAAAAATCAGATTTCAGATTTTCAACACAGCTACAAATTATTACCAAGGGAGCATTTTAAAATACCACCCCACAATTTGCTACTGGCCAAAATATAAGTGTCTGATTATGATTGTTCATTAATGTTGACTCAAGAGATCTGAACATCAAGGAAGATTGGCTAATAAACAGTATCTTGTCTCAGAAGCTGAAATATTTTAGTCACATCAAGCGGGATGGCGGACTAGGAAAAAAAAATAGCAGAAGGCATGGTACCAGGAAGCAGGGGCCGACCAAAAAGAAGATGCGTCCAGGATATAAGTGACTCCTTGAATATGAAAGTAAATCTGGCTGGAGAGCTGGCGAGAGACTGAGTTTCTTTCAGGCAGACTGTGATGACAGTGATGTTCTGCGAAGGACCTGCTCGCTGATGATGACTCCAAACATTGTCTTTCAACTGATGAGAGTTAATATCTTTAAAAATATATTCACTAACAGACTGCCGATGTTACTGTCAGGCATTTTTTATTGGTGCAGAGTACAAAAGTAAAGTGAACAGATGAATCTATTTCCCCAACCTGGTAACATAAACAATGACAAATGTAAAGCAAAGTCATTTATTCACCTCACTTTATTTATTTATGCAGTTAACCCTTTTGCACCGAGAAGCCGACACTCGTTACTTCTATTTGTGACACCTTCCCTGTGAATGCCGATATACCAGAATTTCTGCAGTGGCCTGTTCTCGAGAAACCTAGTTAAACACCATTGGATCTATATGTGCCTGCGCAGTGTTTAGGAGGCCCAGATTTGAATCTAATTATAAAAAGCATTTAGATGGGTTTTCTGTGAACAAATTGGTTTCTTTTTTGTGTGTGTTTAAACTATTCTGATGACCTAATTTTCCCATAGCCCAGTGTTACAGCAAGAGTCACATATTGTGTAGGCCCCTCTAATGAAATCCATTTACTTCATCGATCTGTGTTTACTAATTTTCTATTTTTTTAAAGGTCCCTTTACCACATCTTTAGGCTTACATGGAGTATAGGTCTAGACCTCTATTTTTAAAGACCAATCAGTACTTGGTGGGGGAGGTGGTCAGCATCACGCCAGCTGCCTTTACTTCCCAGGACTGAACCTGGAACCCACTTAAGGCTAGGTCGAGCGGCTTTGTCAGAACATGAACCCATGATCTTCCTATCCGCAGGCGGGCATCTAGCCACCAACGCCATGGAGAATATCTGTGTTTACTGATTACTCCTTTTATTAAAAAAAAAACATTTATAGAAAGATCTACTTTTGTAATTTAATTATTAGCGACCTGCTGGAAAAACAAATTGTATTCCCCCCCCCCCCCCCCCCCCCCCCCCCCCCCCCCCCATCTCCCCCTCCAGATCCTCTGCAAAGCATGGACCCCACCATGATTTACGGGCTACCTCCTGGTCCCATGACATGTCGGTTCCCTTAATAATATTCAATATTATATATTTATGGCATGTCACCAGGTCAGGAAAATATACCTCCCCCTTCCCGGGTTCATGCAAACTGTTTTTGTCCTTAATCATTTCCTGGGTGGAAAGGTTAATATTTGATATTTTATTTGATATTAGGGAAAATGACAAGGACCAGGAGCAAACAAAAAGATGATACCATTCAAGTAATCTATTCCAAACAATTCAGATATTGAAGTAGTTTCCCATAGCCTCAATGCTAGAGGTCAATGGCATGGGTCACATACTGTTCATCCCTGAGGAATGTATTCCACATAATGCTTCACTCCATTTGCTAATTCACTGCTCACTTTATAAGTTCCAATATTTTTGTCAAACAGACAAATATATTAAGAGGCCGACAAGGGACCAGCAGGCAGCCTGCAAATCATAATGGGGTCCATGCTCTACAAAGGATTTGCAACGTGATTATGATAATGAGATAATAATCAAACAGTTTATACACAGAGAGACACTTACAGGGGTGCTGCCTGTGAATGACACAAGGTTGACTCGTTCATCTTTTGCCATCAGTGTTCTGAGCAAACAAAAGATTACACCATTCAAACATTCTATTCCAAACAGTTCAAATATTTGTTTAAAGTTAGATCTTCCAGGCAAATAATTCTGAAAATATAAGATTATCTGATCAGTATGATCTTCTGCGTGAATAATCCTCAAAATATCATTATCATACATTATTTAAACAGTAAGATCTTCCAAGCAAATAATTCTGAAAATATAAGATTATTTGATCAGTAAGATCTTTTGCGTAAATAATACTGAAAATACATTATTTAAACAGTAAGATCCTCCAAGCAAATAATTCTGAAAATATAACATTATTTGAGTAGTAAGTAAGTAAAATGTAAAATGATCCTTTTCCATCCTTGATGTGTAATGGATATACGGTTCTAGCTCTATTTGTTATATTAATCCGCACTCAATAGACTGGTCAAAATCACACTGGTGCCTTTACTTAACAGAGTATTCCTGGTACTAATTTTTTAGTCTGGTAACCTGGAAGCAATTAAATAAATGCATGCAACAATAAGAATTTGACCACAAGACCATTAGACAAGCATGTCTGCCATTGTATTGACAAGTCTACCTATGTGTAAAAGTACTGGACATATAGGGCTAGACCTATATTTTATAGACCAAACGACCGCCATTACTTCCAAGGACTTCATACGGTACAGATTTGAGGCTGGGTCAACCTGTGAGCCAAGATTATTTTTGAAAAAAAAAAAGGTTCTGAAACCAGGATCTTCTGATCGGCAGGTAAGCGTCCAGCAGCTACATCATGACAGCTCCCACCTATGTGAATGCCCTATGATAGGAGCTTCTGTGTGTGGTCAGTATCCAAGTTTTTTACCACTGACATCACCTCACTGTTATTAGCACACCTTTGACCCCGCAAATGTTCTTTCAATGGGCCAAATAAATGAAATCTTTCAACCCATTCATACACTTTCCTCTGAAACAAACAACTGTCTCCATACTGAACCTTCATTATTCAACAGATTACAAATGGTTTAACCCCCTCTGACCACAAAAAATGAATGCTCCACGGTGCATGTTAACAGTGCTATGGCCACCTTGTACGAGCTGTTACTGCTAAATTATCACGATACATACTTTAGGCATTGCAAAGGAGCTCTTCTGGGTCCTAAAATAATATTTTTCTTCTGCATACTGTTCCATGCAGACGAGGATACAAATGCCTTTTCTTTAATGACTTTCCTCGTGGTTAAAATAAATAAAAACTGTTCATGTCTCTGGTGTATCAGATGTATAGTGCTTCTACTACTACAGACCAATCAGCTTTCGATAGATGATGTGCTTACAATTACATCAACTGTTTTACTTCCTAGGTGTATGTGTGTGTTTGCATGCATGTATATATGTATGTATGTATCTGTGTATGCATGTATATGTGTCTGTATACATGTGTGCATGGTGTATGTGTGTGTGCTTATGCATGTATGTATGTATGTATGTATGCATGCATGCATGAATGTATGTATGTATGTATGTATGTATGTATGTATGTATGTATGTATGTATGTATGTATGTATGTATGTATGTATGTATGTATGTATGTATGTATGTATGTATGTATGTATGTATGTATGCATGCATGCATGTATGTATGAATGTATGTATTCATGAGTGAATATTTAAATGTGCACATCTAAAATAATACTTTGCTGTGTTTTTACTTGCTCTTAATATTATGTATACTAAACTGCTGTATTAACAAAACATGTTTCTAAATAGAATACAATTGTGGTGCAAGAGATAAATGTTTGAGTTGGCCAAATGTAAGACAGGCCTGCGTGCAGAATTTTGTGACCCTTTAAAAATAAAGTGTGTTCATTTGTAACCCGAGACCTTCTTGGAGGGTTGGCAAGCATCTAACTAAGTGTCTGCAGCTCCCTTATGTGTATAAACCATAATATAATTTCAAAATATTGCATCACACAAGCCAACCATTCTGACAAATGCTTCACTCAAGCTAATTCATAACATTTCACAGAACCAGTATCAAACAACCAGAATCACAACAACCCATAGTCATAACATATATTACAAGACACACTCACATAACCACATACAAATTACCACGGTTATTCAAACAGCCAGACAGAATCACACAGGCTTTCTGAAGGGATTGTAACTTCATCACATAGGAATCACTCTATAAATTTTCAGTTCCTGTGCCGAGGAAAATCACACACAATGCCCATCACTGTCTCATGTGAAGAGTCAAAACGGACAGCACTCCTGACAAAATGCAACAGCACGCACATGTATCAAATGTATAAGGCAGCTGCCAGGGTTGTCAACAGCTAAAGTCTATCACTCAATTGCTATTCACAGTCGATGGAGGCAGCAGTCACTACGAATCAGCAGGTGCACATGAAACTCCTTGCTCACAGTGTCACACAATTCACTAAATTCAGTAGCTGGCTGACGGAACTGGATTTTGCCTTTTCCTCATTTGCTATCCTTTTCAGTTTCCTAACTGTGGGTTACAACCCCAGCCTTCCACTGGATTACTTAGGAAAACAAGGTAAACCAGGTGAAGGTAAGCCAGGTTTGAGCAAGTTCCGCTAAGAAACACTAAGAGTCTTGGTAGTGCACACTGCTTCATTACAACTCCAGAATCACAAAACCATACAGATTCTCATGATCATTCACTAGCCAGTTCAACATAGCCTCACTAATGTACAGAACCAGCAAGCAAAGACAATCATCACCTTTTTGTGGACTTACCCGATGTCTGCTCCGCCACTGACCAATGAGCACACAGCCCCAGGAATCTGGTTACTTTCCAGAACTTCACTGACCACTCTAGACAGAAACTTAAAGGGTAAGAAAAAACTCACACACACACACATATCTTAAATCTTTAAAATAATGTTTTACCTGCCATAAATTTGAATGCTGAACACAAAATCAACAAGTTACACAATGTATGTCTGGCATGTTTCACTGTATTACATTAGGCACATACTAAGGAATCAAATTAACATAAAGTGAAATAATTAATCCATCAAGTTAAAATACAAGACATGTGCCTTCCTGTAACTATAAATGCACAGTCTCATTGACTTAAGACAAAGTTCAGTTCCAACTAACAGGTGGTAAGTCGAACTGATCGTAAGTCAAATTTATATTTTTAAAATACTTTTTGGATTCAAACAGATAATAAAAATTCTACATAAAACACACAAATTCAATTTATGTACGTATAATTTTTTGTATATAATACGAAAAATACATATATACTCTGCTGCATCATTTCTGGGAAAGTTTTTACCTACCAATTGTTATCTCTCTCTACTATTTTTATTTATTTAATTGTGTGTGGTCATAAGTGTGGATGGTGGTTAAGTGGCATAGGTTGTAAATCGAGGAGAAGGTGTATCTTTTTCTTCTTCTTCAGCCTTCACTCTTAACAGGGCAGTGGACACCAAGTGTTCTTTCCAGTGTAAATCCCTTCTAGTTACACTGTTCGTTCTCAGGTTTTCTCAACATGTGACCTATCCAAAGCCAGCATTTTTTTCTTCACATCTTGATTTAACTGGAATTTGTTTAGTACTCTCTGAAATTCCAAGTTAGTGATTCTATCACAGTTTTATCCCCTCTGTACTTCCCAAAAAAATGTAATGAATGTTTGTAGTTTATTAGTAGCTGCTTCAGCTGTTTCCCTTGTTTCAGCTCCATATAGCAGTAACGATTTGACATTAGAGTATTAAGAATCATTACTACTTTAACAGCTGACTTACTTGGTCACAGCAATGCTCACCAATGGTGTCGATGGCGCACCTTTCCTGAATCAGAAAAAAATATAGTGATTATAAAAATCGTACTGTGTGCTCAAAATTGCTTCTTCAAATCATGTCACCTCAAACTGCATGCATCAGTGTGTACTGACTCCATTCTGTGCCAGACCAACAGGCTACTAATGATCTCCTTTTATTGTGTGTAGGTGTCTGTGGCTTAGGCGTTGCAAACGCGATTTGTAATGCCGGGTTCGAACCCAGCTGCAAGTCTTGCGTTGATTTTGAGTGGTATCAAGAAGCTGACCGTCCAAAAAGCAAGGGCAAACTACTGGACGTAAATTTGCCTAGAAAAACTACAACAGCAAAAAAAATGCTGGGGTTGGTTCTGCAAGGTCCTGTAAAGGTCGTGCAACTAACTCTCTTTCTTATAGTGTGTTTATATAAAAATATAGTGGTACCTTTGTATATGTTCCCTTTGATGTACATTCAAGTTGGCATACATCCTATTTAGGTAAAACAACTTTTGCTTGATATATAACCTCAGCTGGGAATACGTGCTAGAACTTGTATAAGACATAATTAGTCACAACTGTGAGGCATTTTCATTTACCACTCTTGAGACAAAGCTGCAGATAATGACTTTGCAGAGAAGTCTCAGCCCAGCAAAGCCTAAACAAGCCATAACAGTAATGTCTGGAATGACAAGACATTCACAAAACATCTTGAGGAGAAGGCAGAAGCGAAATTCTTTAGACATATTTTTATTACAAGTCAAACCTGACCAGATGCAAGTAGCAAAAAAAGACAGAAAAAAGAAAACATTAAAATTTCAGATGAGTGAAGTTTTACTGGAAGGGGACTCTCCTTCGAAACAATAATATCTCTCCCTCCTCCTCCTTTCTCAGTACCATCCTAGTAGGCACTCGACTCTTCTCAAAAAGGTGAAGTGAGGTTGCATTTTCATTTATTTCATCTAACTGCTCCTGTATTTATGTATTTTATTATTAGGCAGTTTTACTATTATTTTATTTTTCACTACTATTTTATTTGCGAATGCAGAGGTGCTTGACCGCAAGTGTGGTGTACCATAGCACTAACTGCTTAACAACTATCTACACATCTTTAAATAGGTTTCCAACCGGGTTCTTGATCAGCATGGACAGGATCAATGTTTCCTTCAAGTCTGAGTGCATCTGCCTGACAGGCGAGCAAGAAACCAACAGTCAGCACTGTAAAATGGATGTGCACACAACACCCAAGTCATGGAATGAGACCACAGTCCAGAAGTGGACAACCAACCAGATCTTTCTGCCAGAGTTTACAGCTGCTGAAGGTAAAGAAAAATATTTCTTTTATTTCAACTTATCTCTTCTCATAGTAAATAAAAAGGTATGACTGTCTCTTTCTAATGAAAGTGTTTTGTTACCTTTATATCTTAGCCTCATCCAAACATTTAGATTACTTATTTTGGACATCCAACAAATTTCAGCCCTGTTCTGTAGAACCATATCTCTGAGGCCTGAAGGGACATTTTGATGTGTGTTTACTAACTGCCCAGGATTCACAGATATATTTTATCATTAGAAATTGCCTTGCTGGCTGGCATGGGTGATCATGCCTTTCAACAATCTACAACAGCATGTATCAGTTTGGCGTTCACACCCCACAACAAAATGCAGCCAAGAGTCATCCTGCATTGTCCTCCCCTGTCTCTTTTCCCACAGATCTTTCCAGTGGTCACCTGTTCAAATTTTTTGCTGTCTTGAGCCCTTGCTTCTTTCAAAACATCCTGGTTGCAGTTTTTGACTGTCAAAGTAACTCTTAAGGATTCTTCTGTAAAGCTACATCTCCGAGGCCTTATGAAATAGTTTGGCTTGTTTATTAAATGTAGCCATATAATTTAAAAGTATATAAAAGAATTATTTCTGCAATTCTGCAGACTTACCACAACAAGGTGTTACCACAGACCATGGCAATAGCTGAGTTCCAGCCGTAGACAGCACAGGGAAAGTTGAAGGCTGTAATGACACCTACAACACCCAGGGGGTTCCACTGCTCTAACAATAGATGCCCTGGACCTGTTGATGAAAACAGAAACTCTTAAGTCAGTACAAATAGAAACAAACTCTAGTATTAGGGCTATCTTTACAACCAGTGAACACAAACAATAAAACTTTGGCTTAAAGTGAGTTCTGTATGAGAATAAGCAAAGACAAACTAATAAAACTGGTCTGTCGTATGTACAGAAGCAAGACAGAGTGATCTTATCTGGCATAGAAAGGATGAATACAAAAGCAAGGCTCTGCTAACTCACAATCTCGAGCTGTGACCAAAAAGACGTAACAAGCACGAACGAACAAACAAACAAACTTTATTTTTAAAGGGTTAAGAATTGGGCATGCAGGCCCATCTACATTCTGCCCTTCGAAGCCTCCCACCGTTCTTACATCATTTCATTCATAAATCATGTGAACATTATCAACAGCATCAAGAATATTCATCTGACATGTAACAAGAATCAACTCACGTTCTGAGGGGAAAACATGCCCAGCAAACGTGCGAGACAATCCAACAGCATAATCACAAATGTCAATGTACTCTTGCACTTCACCTTCACCTTCCGGCAAAATCTTCCCCATCTCTAGGGAAATCTGAAATGCAGTTATAATGGAGGAAAAAAAACAGATGCACACGTCTGCAGTTCACCACTGGAACACACAAAAAAACGGTAAGGCAATTCAAAAGCAGTTGAACAATGGATTTTAAATGAATAGGTATAACCATCTTGGAACAGTCATATTATTTAGTGCAGGATGCTGTGTAGAGAGAAAAATAAAAATCACGACAGAACTACTTGAATTTTTTTTAAATAGTCGTGACAGAGAAGGACACCCACTTGTCCTGACAGTCGGAAATAACTGTCAAAGCTGTTGGTTGAAATACCCAATGTGGAAGTGGAAGGCAACGGGAAACCAGCACATTATATTCCCAAGAGAACTCATGAGAAAAGAGACAAACACTGTTCTTTGGCCACATAATGCGAAGAGAGACATTGGAGAACATCGTGACAACAAGAGAGCTGTTCCAGGCAACCAGGGATCATGATCTGTGGAGGCGCATGAGCGCCTACACCAGTTGGCAGGGCACAAGATGATGAGCAGTGAAAGATGGACAACATATTTAGAAACATAAATATGCCAAATGTGGTAAGAATATGTGCTGAAGTACTGTACTGAACCTGTGATAAGAGTACGCTTGTGAGATCGGAATAATAAACAGAAAAACAGCTAATAGCAACGGATGTGTGGTTTCTGAAAAAAATGCAAGAAACAAACAAGATAATTCTCAAACATGTGAAAACTGTTAACTGATTACAATAATCAGACCCCAAAAATGTGAAGATTTACTAAATACTTTATAAGAAAAAAATAAATCTGAACATGGTGACACCGGGCAATCTTGATCAAATAAGCAAAAAGAGCAGACTGATAAACTGCTGATAGTCTGACCACATGTCATGGGTGGGACAAGAAAACCGACCTTATCCAAAACTTGACTGACTGTATAAAATAACAAACCATAACCTAATTTGTTAATCACCATGTCATATGACGATAATTGTCTTTTCCTTATCTGCAGACTGCAGAAAGTTCCAGGTATCTGTCCACTCTAACTTTTGATCTTCTCAGGCAGATGTAGTCCGTCTTCAAAGGAAACACACCTAATTAGCTACCTTCTACAACATGTTTGTTAGTGAGCGGTCGGTCATTTCTTCTTTCTCCACCAAAATGGGGCCCCAGAACCCACAGGAAATATAACAATGACAGTAGTTAGTGTCTCTGTTTATGATACCAGGTCTAGATTCAATCCCAAGGATTCTTTTTCCCCCAAATTAGTCAACCTATTTTAGATCAAAACTGCACACACAAAGGAGTTGAAGGGGAGTAGACCAAGAGACACACCGACAGGACAGCAGAGAGATACAATACATGTAAACCAGCAAATAAGAGATTTATTCATATGCATTAATTAATTATTTTTTCTAAATATAACTGTTGTCATTTTACTGTCAAAATATATAAAGAGATTAATCAAATAGTGATGACAGAAATGAAATGTTAATGTACTATACTAGGTATAACAAGGGAAGATCACTTAGGAATGATGACATCAAAAGAGTCGACACAAAACCAATACTGAACTTTATAGCTAGACAGAAGATCAAATGGTTTGGTCATGTAACAAGGCTGGCATCAGACAGGGCAACATGAAGAGCGATGTTATATAGATACAGTGGTAACAGACCCAGAGGTCGACCCCGCAGAAGATGAACCACAGAAATATCAGAGACATTGAATAGTACTTTATACGAATCGAACAGAAGAACCCGTTCCAGAGATCTCTTCCTGCCCTGACGCCGCAAGGCATTCCACATTCCAGAAGTAGAGAAAAGAAGAAGAATCAATAAACATAGAGTGGCGAACGAAAGAAGAAGAATAAATAGAGTGAATCTTTAAATGGAAAACTTCCTCCCAAGCCTTAAAAAAAAATATGTATTAGGTGACTCTTGCTGTGACCTCAATCACTGAGGTTTGCGGGGGAAATGTGATGATAACTTGGCATTAAAAAAAAGCATTTTGTTTATTAAAAACACTCTCATAAATGCTATTTTTAGTTCAAATATTCATATCCTGAGCTCAGAAACATTTGTATAGGCATGAACACAGCCACAGTTTTTAATTATATATCACTTAAATAGGTCCTATCGAAAAGCAGGAAAAACAACATTTAAGAGGAAGAGGATCCAATGGGAAGTTCTGCAGCTTTTCCCGGTGACAGGGTTAACTTATTCAGGCCATGTGAGTGTTGGTATCAGTCGGGCTACCTCATCATGCAAAAAATCTTTGCTTTCATATCCAACCACCCAAGTGAGAGCCTATGCTCCACTGGGAGGTGGAAGACAAGTAGAGGAGAACACTTTAATACAGTAGAACCTCAGGATACAAGTGTACCTGGCTATGAGTTTTCAGGATATCAGGTCATGCTAACCAAATGTGTGTGTGTGTGTGTGTGCCCCAGAATGTGAGGTAAAATCCTTGATGCGAGCTGGATAGACAAGAACTCCGAGCAATACCCAACAGCATCTCTATAACGTTTTAATGGAAGAGGACTAAAACCAGTCGACAAGGCACTTGATAATGACTGACTCTGGCATCGTGGTCAGAAGTAACCCCAATTTCTTCCGCCAGCAAAACAAAAAAAACTTCTTCTTCATCCGCCTTTCTTTTCCCTAACGGAGCATAGGCCCTCAACCAGAGGCACAGATAGGTTATTATGGTCTGAGGAGAATGGGGTTGTGAAGACTCACCAGGGATCGGGCAGACGCTTAACACTCAGGGGGGAAGGTGAATATACAATCATACTGTTACAGGTGCAATCAAAATTGCAACTCTTTATTTGCTGTTGAAGATGGGGAGGGAACGCTTATGGGGGGTGACTAGAGTGCTGTGATGTCAATTCTTAATTCAACATGAAAGATCACTAAGACCACAGCACTGCTCAAAACATGTGAAAGTTTGTGTATCCTTTAATCCTCTTTCACAATTTGTATTTGATTGCTGTGTTCCTTGGCCTGTCACCCATTGAATTATGATTATTATTACGTTCTTGTATGCAGTACCTCTTCACCAACAACTCTCTTTCATTGGCAGGTACTTCAATTACCAACAGCAGCCAAGTGTTTCAGAAACATTATGTACAGAATAAGTACACTGTAGACATAAACTTACTAATTTGCCAAGCAGATGCTTTTTAACTCGGAAAGCATCACCAATCTGGCGAACAATTTCTCCTCTTCTAGGGGCTGGAATCTACAAAAGAAGATATACAATTTAGATGATCTACTGTTAATTTAAACAGTTATTTTCAATTTTCTACTGTGGGAAGATGTATGATGCCAAACCTGAGATAAGAACAGCTCATCATCATCATCATCATGTAGCAGGTCCTTTGCAGAACGCCGCTCTCATCACAGTCTGCCTGAAAGAAACTCAGTCTCTCGCCAGTTCTCCCGCCTCATGTTACTTTCATACTCAAGGAGTCACTTATTTCCCTTGCCCATCTTCGTGTCGGTTGGCCCCTGCCCCTACTTCCTGGTACCATGTCTTCTGCTATAAATTTTTCCAATCCGTCGTGGTGCTTGATATGACCAAAATATTTCAGCTTCTGAGAAATGATGCTGTTTATTAGCCAATCTTCCTTGATGTTCAGATCTTTTAAGATGTCAATATTTCTCCTCTTCTTTGTCCAAGATACTCTGAGAATCTTTCTATAGCATTTCAGATCAAAAACCCCTATTCTCTTTCTTAAGGACTGAGATATAGTCCACGACTCACATTCGTATGTAGCCACAGGGAAGATGCATGCTCTCAAAATTCTAATTTGTATCTACTTGCTGGTGCTTAACCATAAACTTTTAAGACTGTTCAATCTTTGCATTGCTATGGCCATCCTCCTTTTAATTTATGTCCAACAGTCTCCATTGCTGTTTATTATAGAGCCTAGATATTCAAAGTTTGTGACATTTTCAATTTCTTCATCATTTATTGTTATTTCTGGGTGAGAGCCAGGTTTATCTGTGGACATTATTTTCGTTTTCGTTATTCAAGAACAGATTTTCATCTTCACTGTGCTTTTGGACAGACAATATTAAATATTCTATTCCCTTTATGCTGTTCGAAAGGAGGACTGAGAACATCTACAAATTCAAAATTGATAACAGATACTGACACTCAACGAATATTTAAAGCATGCTATGGAACTACATTATATTCCAGCACAGGGACTTATGTGGTTATGCTGTCCATAACAGGCAGGAGTGCATGGAAATGAAAGAGCAAATTTTCTGGCTACAAAAGTGATAGCTACGGGAACACTTGTACTGAACAAATGAGACATTCTGAAGACCAATTCAGAATGAATGTTAATAGAAGATACAAGGTTAGAAGAAATAACGTGTACAAATGGAATGGATCTGGTAAGCAGGGAGGCATGAGAGAAAGAGCACAACATGTGTTCTATGGAAACAGCATCTACACCTCAGAACATTTGTTACAGGAGACTGAGCATCAACAGGTCTGCCCAGTGTTCTGGGATGTCAATTCTTAATTCAGTAATTCAGTTAAAGCATGTGTCTTTCTTGTAAACACACAACTGGATCACTGCTGGTGACACGGAGTTCATGCATTGTGCTGAGACTGAATGTGATATATAGGAAGAGACCGGAGTGCTTATGGACACAGTCATGTGCAATGAATCCTTTGCAAAAGAAACTGACCCTGACAAAATGACAATATCAAAACAAAAATGTTGAAGGAAACAACTTACATCTGCCCATGTCTCCCATGCAGCTCTTGAGGCCTGGATAGCTGCTTCATAATCAGCTGGGGTACCCTGTAAAGGTGAGGAAAACAGTCACAACTCAGAAACATTTCGGTGGGAGATAGAAGACAGAGCCAGTGAGTACAAATCTGAGATAATCAGTCCAGTAGTGGTCGAGTCAAATTTAGTCTATAAAAGGATGGCAACAGGTTGCGAATGGAAAAAGTTATTTAAATATATACATGGAATTAAGGCCACATGCATCTTATTATAAAATTATTTAGTTTTGTCATTTAAAAAATAATGATAACCATAAGATTTTCAGTTAAACTCCTGTTATTTTTATCAGGGCAAAATATAATAGAGTTCAACAAGTTACATTTTACTGTTGACTTTGTATAACATTTAGATTTCAGTTGCATTGATACACAGTATATCAGCTCGCCATGTAGGTATCTCTCTCTCCCTTTGTTTTCTGTATGTCTAATGTAAGGCGTATATATCATCATCATCATGTGCCTTGAAAGACGACATATCCGTTTTTGTCTCTCCACATATATTAATCCTTGTGTTGGAGTTTCTATGATCTGCTTTCACTCGTAATTACTTAGGAATATACTGTGGTGGTTTTTTCTTGCCTTAATATCCATGTGTTGAGGAGAGGAGGCAGTGTTTACATGTTCATGTCTTGTTCAGTCATTGTTCTGCTCCAAGATTGCTGACAGTAGGATTAACACCTCCTGGATGAGAATCACACAGGAGAAAATCCCAGAAACCCTGTTTAACTGTATAACAATTATAACTGGGGCATCTCTATGTTTACAAAGTAACCTGAAGTCCTCTGTAGGGATGTGATCTACGATGTGTGCCTAGCGAGTCATTTGTATTTTTTATATCATCATGCAGCAGGTCTTTTGCAGAACGTCGCTCTCATCATGGTCTGCCTGAAAGAAACTCGGTCTCTCACCAGCTCTCCCGCCTTGTGCACTTGCATATACATACCCTGTACCCACCTCCATGTTGGTCAGCCCCTGCCCCTCCTTCCTTGTACCATGTTTTTTGCAATTATTTGTTTTCTAATCAGCCGTGGCTCCTGATATGACCAAAATATTTCATCTTTCGAGACAAGATGCTGTTTATCAGCCAATCTTCCTTGATGTTCAAATCTTTTAAAATGTTAGTATTTCTTCTCTTCTCTGTCCATGGTATTTATAGGGATCAATGATTAAAATTTGTGCATTCCATGTTGTATATAGGTTAAACATGCTCATTATTTCTACTTCTGAACTTACAACTTCTCACTTATTTATAACTAGTAATATTTTACTTTTAATATGTGGTCAGTTTTAAAAATGGAATAAAACAACTAGCACCCTGGACCAACATGGCAGAATCTGAATGTTGGCATACATGTATGACACTTATTGCATTATGAAATTTACTGCAGTATAAAACTTACTGCAGTATGAAATTTAGTTCATTATGAAACTTACTGTTATAAAAATAAAACCAGAATGAAATGTACTGCAGTATGACACTTACTGTAGTAACCTGAGCTATTGGCTTGTTGTTGGCAGGACATACAGACGTCACAACCTGAAGAGTAAATGAAGCACTGATTATACAGTGTCAGTGATTATGCACAAGATTACCACTGTATCGCTGAAGATGCACATGAATCATTAAATGTTAGCAAGTTCGGCTAGCCTCCGAATAACGGCCAAATATTATGGCAGCCAAAAATAGAGCCTAAGTCACATGTGTTTGCGGACTTCCGTCGACTATACTGCCACTGTCGAGAGTATCTCCCGCACCGCTACGCTACACTAAACTAGATTGCTGGGACTCACAAGCAAAGCTCCAGAAGATGCAGAAGCTGCTGCTCGTGAGTCTCAGCCATCTAGTTTAGCCCCGCTCCGCGGTAGATACTCTAGGCGGTGGCGGTATAGTCGCCGGTCTGCAAATATAAGTCCCCGGAAGTCTGCAATTTATATGTGACTGAGGCCCTGTCAGGGTGTGTTTTTGGCCGCCATAAAATGTGGCCGTTATTCAGAGGATAGCAGCAGGTTCTGGTCATATCTATTTACTTCTGGACTTTGGTCTTGCTCCAGAACTTGCGTGCACATCCATTTTACAGATCTGGTTTATCTGTAAGCAGCTCCGGCAGATGCACTCCGACTTTTTAGGAAACTCCCTTAAATAGTCACCTTGTATGACATGCTTTTTGAGGAGGCAGTGGGTCTAATCCTCCCACCACCCCTTAAAAATGGGGGCCCGGAACCCACACAGGGAAGTAAGGCATTTGACGATGATGATATGATGTACTAATAGAAGGGAAAGTGCTTAACTGAGTCAATAAATTCAAGTATTTGGGAACAACCATAACATCAGATGATTGATGTGTGACAGATTATTAAGAGCAGAATTGACCAGGCAAAGGCAGCATTTCAGAAGATGAAAAGTATCTTACATAATAAATCACTCTCATTAAGCATTAGAAAATAAGTAGTGAAATGTTATATCGAGCATGTGCTGTTGTACAGCAGTGAATCTTGGAATGAGAGCAAATAAATTAAGACAGTTTAGAGGCAACTGAGATGTGGTTCTTGAGAATAATGTGCGAATACCTCAAACTGCCGGAATAACGATGACTACCTGGAAATGGCTTTTGAAAGCAGAATATTAAATATAACAATGAAAAGGAGACAAAGTTATATGCTTCTTTGGTCATGTGATGAGAAAAGGAGCACTAAAAAATATTGTGATGACTGGAAAGATCACTGGTAGAAGAGGCAGAACAAGAGAAATGATGGTGGATGGCTTAAGACAGTGGCATGGAGGAATATCATTAGTGGAATTGATCCAGAACACCAAAGACTGAGATCTATGAAGATGCATGAACGCCAACACCAGCTGGCAAGGCACTTGATGATGACGATTGTTAGGGAATCCAGCCTCATAGCGACTGGAACAGATTGTCAGCAAAGTTCTTGCAACTAAAAGGAAAGAAATGGTAAGTAAGAGAACTAGCCTCAAGGTCTAGATCAGTGCTCCTCAACCTTTTTACACCCACAGCCCAACAAAATGGAAGATATGTTTTTGGCTATCTTCCGAATAACGGTTCCAAATTATCGAGGCAGAAAATATACCCTAACAGGGCCTCAGTCACGTGTCAATTGCGCACTTCGAGAGTATCCCCTACACCGCTCACTCGGCGTGGATTGGGGCTAAACCAGATGGCTAGGACTCACGAGCAAATTAAATAAAGGAAGCTGCAGGAGATGCGGTAGCTGCTACTCGTGAATCCCAGCGAAATTTAAGTCCCCGGAAGTGCACAATTGACATGTGACGGAGGCCCTGTTAGGGTATATTTTCTGCCGCGATAATTTGGGACCGTTATTCCGAAGATAGCCATGTTATTTGCAGACCACCTAACTAAAGATAGAAATGTAACTGTTTTAGCTGTCTTGTTACATGACTGTCACGTTCTCTGATATGGCTTGTATGCAGTTTAACACGGTTTTCAGAATGTGTACCTGTTTTGCTTTTGAAGAAAAAAAAAAACAAAGTGCTCCGTTTTACTTCTAACTCAAGCCTGAGTCTGAAGAATCTCAGTGCAGTGTACGAACTCTGTTGCGCCTGCAAGGATCCTGAAATGCTTTGGGTATATTTTCAACTCCAAATTTTGCCCGGGCAGCACCATTAGGCTATTATTTCCAACTGCCAAGGGATTTATTTACATGCACAAGAATACACATGGGCGTATGATCTGGCTATCCTCCGAATAACGGCCCCAAATTATCTAGGCCGAAAATATACCCTAACAGGGCCTCAGTCATGTGTCAACTGCGCTCATCCGTCGCCTTAAATTGCGCACTTCCGGCAATGCCGAGAGTATCCCCCACACCGCGTGAGCGACATGGATTGGGGCTAAACTAGATGGCTGGGATTCACGAGCAGCAGCTACCGCATCTCCTGCAGCTTTCTTTATTTAATTTGCTCGTGAGTCCTAGCCATCTAGTTTAGCCCCAATCCACGCCGAGTGAGCGGCATGGGGGATTCTCTCGGCGGTATAGACCCCGGAAGTGCCCAACTGACACGTGACTAGGCCCTGTTAGGGTATATTTTCAGCCTCTATAATATGGGACCGTTATTCAGAGGATATGATTTTTTTACCCAGAGACCAGGTAAAATTATGGCTATCTTACGAATAAGGGTCCCAAATTATCAAGGCATAAAATATACCAGTCACGTGTCAATTGCACACTTCCGGCGACTTAAATTGTGCACTTCCGCCTGTATAGTCCCCGGAAGTACGCAATCGACACGTGACTGGGGGCCTGTTAGTTTATATTTTCCGCCTCGATAATTTGGGACCGTTTTTCGGAAGATTTGCCAAAATTACTAGTGATCCACTTATGAAAAAAAAATCCCATTCTTCAAAAGGGCTTGAAACTGGGACCTCCAGCACTCAAGGCGGACACCATACCTCGGGACCACGCAGTCCCCCTGTTATTATTATTGTTTTATTGAAACAGCATAACAACGTGTCGTGTTGTTTTTCTTAAAAAAGAAAAGTTGGTAAACCTCTCCTGAACCGCCCCATCTCCCATGATAAACGCCGTTATTTTTCGTGGAAAGGCCTAGATCTTTCAGCCAGGCATATTTTGGATCTTCTATAAGAAATGTCGACATTGCTGAATAATGTCGGGAATGAAACTGATAAAGAAGTGCTCTGTGATTGTGAACTCCAACTCCTCGACAAATTCGTATCACAGCAGCCATGACAGCATAGCCAGATTTTGATGTTCCGGTGGGCCAAATCAAATGCCGCTGGCTGTCCAGTTCCTAACAGTAGTACTAGTTAGCTAGTTGGTTGGTTAGTTAGCCAGTTTGTTAGTTAGTTGAAGTTCATACTAGAGACAGAATTGTAAAAATAAATTTCCAGCGAACGAAAGAAGAAGAAAGTTAGCTAGTTAGTTAGTTAATTAGTTGACTTGTTGGTTGGTTGGCTGATTAAGATTCTAACTGAAGATGGGACATCCATAAATGCTCCGTTTCCGTGCCAGTTGAAATCAAACAAAATGTCATTCGCTGTCCTATTTGGAAAACCATTGAAAAACATGTCAATCTTACTAAATCTTTAAGCTCGCACACGCAACGTTAAATGCGTACGGAAGCCCTCATATGTTCCAACATAACGTTTACCTCCAGAATTGCATTTCACTATATTTGGCTTAGAAATAGGCGAATACTGTTGACAATTTCATAATCTTCGAGTACTGGGGTGGACGGTAAAACGTATATCGTTCTAGTGGTTTTAAGACAATGGTACGAGAGTATGTGGAAGAGACAAGGGTCTCACCACGCAATATTTCCAAAAGACAGCAGTGGTTACGCTGTAGTCAACCTTCATTGAGAAGGCGGCACATTCAATTCTTATTTATTTTTTGAAGCGAGCAGTCAATCACGAAAGTCGGCATTTCCAACAATTCTACAGTCTCATAGAATTCCAGAGAAATTTGACTGAAAAGCTCAACAAAATGGGGAAGCAGAAAACTGTGCACAAAACAGCACAAATAACGTAACGTTTCGGCCGGGCAGCCTTTGCCAAACTACACAAAAATAACAACGAGGAGAGGAGAGTATACAGATCTCTAAGGGGTGACGTGAGCGACGTTTTTTTTTTTTTTAAATGTGATGTGTAATAATACACGCTATAGGAGATCGTAGATTATGGAGAGGCATGATCGCCCACGCCAGTCGGCAAGGCACCTGCTGATGATGATGTGGAATAAATGAAAATAAAATTTAAAAAAAAAACGATGGCTAAAAACATATAGTCGCACCCAAAAAAAAAGTAAAATTTTTAATATGTAATATAGTAGTGGGAATAACAGAAATACAAATGTTAATGATACATACATGATTTTGATAAGCGATAGAATAAAGTAATAATATGAAACAAAAGAAAAGAAGAGAAAATAATTAACATTTAAAATGTGAAAAGAGTAAAAACTGTTTAGATGAAGGTATGTTGGATATTGATACAACCTGGACTAAGAACGCCAAGGCTGTGAATAAGGCGATTTTCCAAAGCGAGGCGCGTAGTATGATCGCCAGAGCAAGATTTTAATGTTGTGACAGAAATATCATATTTACCTCTGTGGTCAAAGCTGTTAAAATGGAGAGGAATTGGTTTAAGTGTCTTCTTATCAAAATCGGAGAGGTGTTTCTGGAAACGACCATCTAGCTTTCTACCAGTTTCCCCAATGTATGCCTTGCTGCATCGATTGGAGATTATTGCATAAATTACGTTGCGGGATTCGTAAGTAAGAGATTCCCTAATTTGGAAAGAACCATTAGGGAAACTGACCGTAGAAGTCTGGACAACGAAAGGACATGTCTTGCATGTGCTACGTGAGCATTAAGTAGTACCGAAAGGAAGTGCTGTGTGGATCGGCGGAAGTCGGCTTCTGACAAGTATGATGTCTTTAAGCTATAAACTAATCTTGGCTTTTCACTGAAAATAATCTTGGTAGATCTCTATATATAACAATAAGAAAAAGACAAACACTGTTCTTTGGCAACATAATGAGAAGAGAAACATTGGAGAACATCGTGACAACTGGAAAGATCAGTGGGAAAAGGAGTAGAGGCAGACCAAGAGATTATGCTGGATGGGCTAAAACGATGGCATGGAGGGATATCAAGAGAGTTGTTCTAGTTGGCAGGGCAAATGATGATGATGATGTGTCCTCTACTGTGTATCCGGATCCGTTCCTTCTAGTTTGGGCCAGGCATGTCTCGTAAGAGTCCGAGCTGGTTAAAAATAGGTAACTCATTGACCTTTCAGTGTAAATTCTTGAAATTTAGCATGCAGCCTGTTAGTAGGGAAGCAGAGGGGGGGGGGAGTGGGGGGGGGGGCGGGGTCTGCTAGAAGATTTAATTTACAATATGTGACCTTGAAACTACAGCCTGTATTAGAAGCGCTCCGATGTCAGCATACAGTTGACGGTGTTGTAGCACATGCTTAGCATTTTCGGGTGCCATGCTGCAAGGACACGTCTCCGTGTTTCCTACACCGAAAAATGTGAACATATGTTGACGAAGTCTGTTGTGCCCAGTCCTTAGTCTGAATATAATACACTGACCCTCTATAGAGAGGCGATGAAGCGAGTCTTGGGGAGAAAATCTGGTGTGGGTATCCAGCCACCTTTCTTGGATACTAGATCGTATTAATGTTTTCGTCTCTTGGTGAGTTGAGTCGCTATTTGGTTGTACCATGTCACTGCCGCTTCTGGCCAATCTGTCCGCTATTTCATTGCCTTCCAAGCCACAGTGACCTGGAATCCATTGCAACACAGATTGTTCTACTGAAGTGCCTAAGGGAATCAGCTGTTGCGTCAAGTCTAAAAACTGAGTGTCTTTTGTGTTAACAATTGCTTGTAGAACTAACATAGCATCAGCCAGAAAGACCGCTCTGCTATATATGTTGTGCTGCTGTCCATTCAGGAAAGAACATGCCGCCAGAATTGATTCTGCCTCTGCTCTATAATTGGAGGAATATGAACCTGTTGGTACAGCCTGGTTGATTTTTAAACCATTTGGGCATTCTATGTATATACCTCCTTCCCATCTCTTATTGCTCTCTTGGCTGAATCGTCTGTATACACTCGAATCCAACTCTGGTGTGGATTAAGTCTATTCATCCTACTGTAGTTGATTTCATATCAGTGCTGCTCATTGATGATTTGGAGGAGATCCCTGTTACAGTGGTTCTGACTGTTGGCAGGCTATCCCTAAACCAAGGGAGGCAGTCGTTGTAAGGTTTCGGTGGGACATTTGGTATTATGGGAGGGAGTTTAAGGACAGCGAGCTTGGCATTAGCGCTCTTAATAACACAGTTTCTCTTTAGTCTAGCCTTCTGGGGTTTCTGCAGTCGGCTGTGCATGGGTTGTTTCTTTAAAGTGGTGGTATTTGGAGAGCTGGGTGAGGAGCTTTGTGTCTCTTCTATCTTCCAGAGCATGGAGACCAGTAATTGTTTCCATGTCTGATATGGGCGTGAAGCGCATTGTCACTGTCATAATACGGAGAGCATGGTTTTGGATCTTTGAGACTTTCTGAAAATTTGATTTAGCTGCTGTGCCCCAAGCAGATATTCCATATTCTAGTGTTGGCCCCACATAGCCTGTATAGTACCTCTTGAGGACACCGAGGTTTGCTCCCCAGTCTGTTCCAGCTAACTTCCTAATCAGTTGGGTTCTCTTGAGTCCCTTGCGCTGTGTTTTTTCTATCTGTTTAATATGATGCAGTCTAAAGTGAAGGTCGACCGCACCTGGAGGAGTTTGAGGTTGAGGTTTGAACATGGGTGAGGAGTATTGTCTGGATTTTTTCACCGGTGGAATACTGGTGCATTATAAGGCAGACATGGTTAGTGCCTTGTGGGAGAGCGTGTACAGTACGACGGAGCAGATGGATCACCACAGTCTGGTGAGATGATGCAGGGGGGAGTGACGAGAGGTTCTGGCAAATGCTCGAGGCTCAGAGGAAAGGTAAGACCAACGTTTAATCAGAAAGCTACTGGCATCATTAGTATCAGAACTCTTTGCTGGCTGCTGAAGATGGGGACGGAGTGCTTATGGGAATGCCCCTGGTGCTGTGATGTCTGTTCTTGAATCAAATCAAATCATGAGGTTTGAACAACGGATCAACATCATGGCACATGGATAGTAACCCATAAGTACTCTGTTCTTCTTCTAACTCGAGTCCGAAGAAGCTCAGCACAGTGCACATGCTCTGTAGCACCGGCGAGGATCCTGAAATACTTCGGGCAGATTTTTAACTCTAAATTTTGCCCAGGCAGCGCTGTTAGGCTACGTTTTTCGATTTCCAACTGCCAAGTAATTTTTTTTACGTGCGCAGCAATACACACGGGCGTCCGATCTCACCACCCAGAGCCCAGGGGGAATTACTAGAAGTAAAAGTCCATGTGAAAAAATACCAGCCCTTACCGGGGATTGAACCCGTAACCTCTAGCACTCGAGGCGGACACCATACGTCAAGACCACCTGGGGGAGTTTCTGCAAGTGACAGAAAGTCATTGTGGCCATGAGATGCAGACATGGACAGATATAGAAACTCTCCTGTGGAGCGAAAGAACCAGTTCTAGACAGTCAAGAGAGGTTAGTCTAAAGAGATGCTGTGTTAACGTACAAGCAATGAGATAGACAAGTTTCATGTGGGCTCTGGACGAATTGAGAGATGAGTCTAAGGAGAGGTTGTGTTGGCGTCTGAGCAATGAGATAGACAAGTTTCATGTGGGCTCTGGACGAAGTGAGAAACAAGTCTAAGGAGATGTTGTGTTGGCGTCTGAGCAATGAGATAGACAAGTTTCATGTAGGCTCTGGACAAAGAGTGAGAAACGAGTATAAGGAGATGTTGCGTTCGCGTCTGAGCAATGAGATAGACAAGTTTCATGTGGGCTCTGGACCAAGTGAGAGATGAGTCTAAGGAGATGTGTTGGAGTCTGATCAATGAGATAGACAAGTTTCATGTGGGCTCTGGACGAATTGAGAGATGAGTCTAAGGAGAGGTTGTGTTGGCGTCTGAGCAATGAGATAGACAAGTTTCATGTGGGCTCTGGAAGAAATGAGAGACAAGTCTAAGGAGAGGTTGTGTTGGCGTCTGAGCAA